ATTGCATGTAATTGTAAGTGGTGGAGATAGCTAGAATCGGTGTATTTTCCTTCCTAGATGTGTAGATTATTCTGTAGGTGAGAAGTTGCATGTTAGATTGTGAGCACCTCATTATGATGCAGAGGAATAAAAAGATAGTGTATGATTGTTTACAGTTAGTAAACATGGAGGTGTGCTTGAGATGTGCTTATGCTATGCACAGGTATGGCTTAGCAATGTAAATATTTGTAGTTATAAGGTCAGGAGCAGTAGGTCTGTTTCTGTAGCGGCTGCAGTGCTTGATTTTGTGTGTTTTTTTTTGTTCAATTTGAGCAAGGGCTTCATCTTCTTTTACTCATCTCATCTAAAAGACAGCAAATCCTCCAGAAGGATAAGCTAGCAGGTATGAAACTGAACCTCTGCATGTTGAGTGTGACTTTGAGTATGCACTTGCTGGTTTATGTATATATTTAGGAAATTCATATTTGAGTGTTAAACATGGCAATTGTTCTGCTTTTGTTTTTGGAAAAATCCACACCTGTGAAAATCCACTAATACAATGCGAAATTTTGAGCTTGTATACCTAGCAATTATATACTTTTTAGCATTTCGGATTTTATGGGAGTACCTATGCAGTAATTAGTTTTCAAATTGTAAGGTATGTAACATACAAATCCAGTTAATAGCTATTGCTGCTCTGTCAGCCTTTTTAAACTAAATATGTTTTACGTATTTCTTCCTTGCACTAATACTTAGCATCGTTGCAGCTAATTTGTTGAAGAAATCTATATATTGCAATCGATGAGTATATTTTCATTTGCATTCCAAGGTATACCAGATTAGTTATGCAGTACACATCACGGTCAATAACTTGACTTTGCATGGCATGCTGGGCCAAATTTACATTTGGGCTTCATTTGTATATTATTCAGTTGAGTTTATTAACTTTTTATCCTTTTAAATGTAGTTAGATGTAACTAAGATATTTTGTTACTTTTCTAAATTCAGTTTTACAAGATGGTAGTGATTGAAGAAACATGCATGCGCATGCTGAGATCTGTTTCCTTTATTATCTTTTGTGGAGCCATTGACCCTCAGTGAACACTTTGGCTGAAAAATAAAATTTAAACGAGCTTGGACTTGTTCAAACCAGTTCCTAGTTAAGTATGTGTTCAATGACTTGTACAGTTTTGGAATTTGAAACTGGCCAAAATTCAGAAAATTAATTCTGAGAAGTAATACTTTATTTAAGGAATTATTAGTTACAGCACATGCTTTTATTCAAAAGCACAATGTGTTTGGGTGCCCTTGGGTGAACTGTATGAATTCTATGTTAACCATCATTAAAGAGCATTGTGTATTGCAAATGCACTTACGAGGGTGTGTAATGTCAATAACCTAAATTTACTGTTCTTAAATTATTGCACAAAAATGTCCCCATCAAGAAGGAAAGATTTTGCATTTTGTATTGCCTTTTAGAATTAGCATTTGCTATTATTGTCATGTGTACTGAAGTACAGGGGTGCAGGAGTACAGCGAAAAGTGTACAAAGTCTTTATTCCTGGCACCATCTTAAATACAAAGTAGAAGAATAAAGAAGTAAAGCTAAAAGTTCAACACGACAGTCCTTCTTTAGCCAAGGGCCTGTAGCTGTGCTGTGCCAGGCTCAGTCTCTCCCCTGCACAGATCTTGATCACCTCACCCTCAAAAAAAAAACCGTGGTATATATGTGTCTTACATGCATTGAAGTACTATTGATATATGGTCATTTTTCCTAGGAAACATGGTTGCCTGTTTGCACCAAATGACCTCAAAATGACTGGATAACCTCTGATATTGATTGAGGGATAAGCAGTGGCCTAAACACCAAGGATCGATTCCCTACTGTTCTCCGAATTAGTCCTACAGAAACTTTTAATAGTCTGCTTTGCGTTTTGATATGATCATGGCTGATCTAACTATGAAGTAAATTCTGCTTTATTTCCTTGTGCATCAAATATCTGATAAATTCAATGATCGAAACCCCACTGATCTCTGGGGTAGAATTCTGAGATGGAGACTCAGTTTAATGTCTCATCTGAAAGACAGCACGATAGGGTCGCATACTCAGTATTTCGGTGGAATGGTCTGGACTTTTGTTCTTAAGTCCAGGAATGGAACTTCAGTTCACAATCTTCTGACTCAGGCAGAAATGCAACCAACTGACCATGGCTTTTTAGTGACCAAGTTGCTTTGTTTCCAAAATGTGTGTTTTCAAATAAATGTTAAGATATGTATCAAATAAGTGGTCATCATTTTATAATATAAGTAGTAGGAGCAGGTTAGCCTTTTGGGTCCTTGATTCAGTAAAATCGTAGCTCATGTGCATAGTTCCTTGAAAGTGGAGTTGCAGGTAGCCAGGGTGGTGAAGAAGGCATTTGCCATGCTTGCCTTCATTCATTAGTGCATTGAGTATAGGAGTTGGGATGTCATGTTGTGGCTGTACAGGACATTGGTTAGGCCACTTTTGGAATACTGTGTTCAATTCTGGTCTCCCTGCTATAGGAAAGATGTTGTGAAACATGAAAGGGTTCAGAAAAGATTTACCAGGATGTTGCTGGCATTGGAGGGTTTCCGCTATAGAGGAGACTGAGTAGGCTGGGCATTTTTCTCTGGAGCCTTGGAGGCTGAGGGGTGACCCTGCAGAGGTTTATAAAATCGAGGGACATGGATAGAGTGAATATCCAGGGTAGGGGAGTACAAAACTTAGAGGGCATTGGTTTAAGGTGAAAGGAGAAAACTTTAAAAGGAACCAGAGGGAGAACTTTTTCAGCCAGAGGGTAGTGCATGTATGGAATGAGCTGCCAGAGGAGGTGGTGAAGACGAATACAATTACAACAATTGAAAGGATGGATATATGAATAGGAAGGGTTTAGAGAGATATGGGCCAAATGCTGATAAATGGTACTAGATCAGTTTAGGATATCTGGTTGTCACGGGCATGTTGAACTGAAGGGTCTGATTCTGTGATGTACGACTCTATGACTCTATCTAATTGTGGTCCTAATTCCACCTTCCTGTCTATTTCACCATAAACATTGACTCCCTTGCGGATCAAAAATTGTCTAATTTGATCCATGAATATATTCACTGATCACTGGGGTAGAGTCCTGGAGATGCGTGAGTTTGTAGAAGTATGTTGCAAGGGAATTAAACATATGATGGGAAAATTGGCTGGATTCTGTGGATGGAATTACAATTTGAAAGCAGTCCTTTACGTCACTGATTTATGTCTTTTTTTAATGTTCAATATTTTAGCATTTTCTGAATCATCCATATTTGATTTGAAGTTGTGCTTATGGTCTAGTGCATTTTGAGGTTTTTCAGTCATGTTTTAACTTGTTCCATTGAAAATAGCATTTAGAACAGGCCAGTTTTAAATATTAAGCATTGGTGGGGGAATCAGAATTTAACATGTAATAATACATTCTGCACATTTAATGAATGAGTTCTTTAATTCTGAGTTTTCGCAAATTGGAATTCCCATGGTGTCCCTCGGTAAGTAAGATGTACCTGATTGAAACATGGAGCGAATAATATAGATCTGGTAAAAATATTGTGTATTCCAGGTCCTAAGTTCTGGATTTTCCTCATTCAGAAGTCCAGGCCAGTTCGTGAGGGCATAGTTTCAAATTCCACCAGCTCACCAGCTGATGGAATTTTAATTCAGTTGGTAAGTTAGGAATATAAAGTTAATATCGATAATGACAAGCATGGCAACTGTTGTTACCTGGTCAGGCCCCTGTGGTATCTTCAGACCCACAGTAATGTGGTTGATTTTGAGTTGGCCTCTGAAATGGCCGAGCAAACCAATCAGTTCCAAGGCAATAAATGCTTGCCATATTCCATGAAAAAGTATAAAAGCTTTGGTCACCTATCCTATTCACTGATTGGGTCAGTTCTAATTTTTTTCCCCTGATTAAGCTCCTACCAACTATGTTTGGAGATGTACTTCACGTTAAAGATTACTATATAGTACCACTTGTTGTTACTGAAAGTCCTGCTGGAATGAAGTAATAGACTGTGTGCCTTGAATAAATATTTGTTGAGCAGGTTCTTGAACCAAAAGATAGTTTAAAACTAAAAGCAGATTAATGTGTGACACATAGACCAGCAGACCATGCTATGACTAAATGAGTAAATTTTGATTCTTGGTTTTAACTGAAAGACAACAAATAATTAACAACATCGGATCAAAAATATCAAGTGTGATTGGGAGTTTTAAAAAATGAACCCATGAAGGGTAAAAGCAGAACGTATGACTGATTACAAGATTGCTTTCCTGTCAAGTGCCTGCGCTACTATGTGTGATTTTCAGCTTTACTTTATATTTAAGTCTTTATTTAGACCAACTTCATAGAATTTCTCTTGTAACTAATGCAGTAAATATTTAACCAGTATGATGATACTATGACTTTGAGGTGTATTGTCACTTTCTTTTGTATAAAGAAAGAATGAGACAGAGGTACCAAGCAGTCTGCTTCAAATAGAATAAACAGCTTGTGAGACCTTGTTTTGTTTTTAAAAGTTGGAACAATAGAAGCAGCTTGAATGGTTGAGCTCAAGCTCTCACAGAACCAGGATTTTTTTTAAAGTTTTAACCTTCAATAGCAGTTGCTGGGGCCTTGAAGCTGGATATGAAAGTTCTTATTCTTCTGTCTGTTACAGCTAAAAGCTGGGGTTCTCTTCCTCCTGCTAGAATTACATGTGAGACAATCTATTTTACTGAATTAGCTTTTGCCAAGGGTGTGTTTATGGGATATTACTATATTAGAACAGTTAATTAATTGTTAATATATTTATTATTTTGCTAAGCATTTCCAAAGTTATAGTTAAGCCAGTTTTCTTATTTTTATTTTGCCTGAGTTTTAATTAGTGTCTGAATAAAATGTGTTTTGCTTCAAGACTGCAAGTTTGACCATTCGAATTGCATCTGGAACACAATGCCTAGCACTTGCCTTTAAAATAAGAAGAAGCTAGAGTCTAGGCTATCCTATTAATATATTTTGAGGTGATTTGATCTGGTCCATACTAACCAGTAACCATGCTACAAGTACAATTTACAAGTTGTGGATAAGAATACTTGATTTGGTCTTTAAGTTAGAGATAAAGTAGCTTTGTCTATGACCATTGCTGTTTTATTTTGGGTGTTAGTCAATTTGAAAATTTTATTACTATGTGATTGAATCTCAGCTGAAGAATATCATGAAAGTATTGCTGGCAAGGGAAATTTCCATTTCCCAAATTTCACTTCCTACTTCTTGTCCCCTCTCCCATAATCACAATTAGGTTGCCCTTGTTCTCACTTTGCACCCCTTCACACCACATTCAGCAGATCATTCAGTGCTATTTCTACTGTCCCAAGCGTGATAGCAATGCCAAGATCATCTTTCTGACCCTTCCTTCATTGCCATAGGGTATTCCTTTCACTCATTTTCATCCTCCCCCTATCCACAGGACATATGTTTGCTTGAGCAACAAGCGATGTACACTTGCCCTTTTTATCTCCTTCCGTTCCAACCTTCTAAACCCCGCCTCTCTGTCTCCCCCATGTGTCTCCCCCTCCTCGCTTTGGGTGTGTGTTTGCCCTCAACTGTGACTACAAAGTGTTCGTTTTCCCCTCCCCACGCCACCTAGTGTGCCCCTGGTGGGGGTTGTGGGGGGAGGTGTCTGTTTCCCACCCTCCGGGGGGTGGAGGAGGGCCCATGTCTCTCCCCCCACCCTTTGGAGGGGAATGAGCGGGTCTCCCTCTTTCTCTCTTTCTTTCTCATTTTCTTTCCCTATTTCTGTACTTGCTCAAAACCTGTTACATGTTCCTTTTCCCCTTGGTTCCAAACAGAACCAGCAGCGTGAAATATTAACTGATATTTCTCTCCACAGGTGACTCTCACTAAAATAATTTGTTTCTTCCTCTTTTGTATTTAACAGCTATCTCTATGTTAATTGAGTCACTTGAGTTCCACATTGCTGACGGTTGTGTCACAAGGCTTTGATTTTATTTTGAATACCTATTATGTGATGTACTATTAAATTTGCACAGGGCTGACTAACCTAATCTGGGACTACTCTGCATTGAAGCGTTGCAGTATATTCTGTTGTTATAGTTAATGGCAGTAATGTATTTTGGAATTGATTTTAGTATCTGTTATATTTACAGACACACAGAATATAGCATTTAATCTTTCAAAGGTTTATATTGATCAGATTCCTGCAATAGATCTGAATGTTTGTATTTGGATCCACGTTCTCCATTTGTGTAAAAACCCAAAGAATGGTGAATGCTGTAAATCGGAGACAAAAGTAGAAATTGCTGGCAAAGCTCAGCAGGTCTGGCAGCATCTGTGGAGAGAAATCAGAGCTAATGTTTCAGGTCGCGTGACCCTTCCTCTGAGGAAGGGTCACTCGATCCAAAAGGTTTACTCTGATTTCTCTCCACAGATGCTGCCAGACCTGCTGAGCTTTTCCAGCAACTTCTATTTTTTCTCCTTTTGTGTATTGTTTGTCTAATACAGCTCAGATGGATAACAAAATAATTGATGCAATAAATTATTAGTTTTAAAGGAAACTTAGTGAAATTATTACTATCTAGTTCATGTGTACTTGAACATAATTTTGCTGTTTTAGGAATTCATATTTGGACAATAGAAATCTCGGGCGTAGGTTGGGAAACATCTTGTAATACTGAGAACTGTCTGATTTGAATGCAATGTAAATAACCTGGGAGGTGGCTACATTTGTAAAGGTCAAAATAGAAGTGATAGAACTAAAAAATACAAAGATAAAATCAGAAGGCAGTGAATCTAACAAAACAAAAATTGAACCCTGAGAATCGGAAATTAACACTTCCAGACAGACTGAAAACTGGTAGAAGCTATATAAATGGATGCAGTTATCCAAGTTTTAGTTTGAAGCTAGGTGGATGTAGCTCGCTAAGAAACAGCCAAAACAAATGATAGTTAGCAAGGTCTACACTTTTTCAAAAAAAAAACTAATTTCTTCATTCATGACGTGAATATGGGTGATGTGTAATATATTGAGGGAATAGAGGCATATAAATAGCCTTGTTTGAAGTATTGACAATGGTCCTTGCTGAGTCTTGATGCAAAGAAAGCTTTTGACAGATTAGCTTGAACGTGTCGAAAATAAAACCGAATAAAGGACTGAAGAATGCACAGTCAAGAGTTGGAAAATTAACAGTTTGCCTCCACAAATAGCTGGTGCTGAGGACAGTTGAAGACTGTTTCCAGAGGTCTGTAGCATAATTATGGTTGCTGCCCATACAAGCAAATCGCTCTTAGGATATTTTAACAAAGAGAATTCTTGGGGGAAGAAAAGAGTAAATCAAAGGGTCTTGCATATCTAGTTAAAGCTATTATTTTAACTCGACTGTATTTGCTTCAATTAAATTATTCGATATGCCAACACGTTTGTGCTACCTTTGTTTAAAAGCATGAAATAGTGTGGCATTGTTCAGTTGGTTAAAATTAGGTGTTCAGATTTCTCTTTGACAGATCCTTAAGTCGATTGTAATGAAGTTCAGCGTGTGAATTAATACTCTGCTGCATAAAGCACTGAGTTGGTGCTCCAGCTCGTGTTTTCTAAATAACGATGGGTTGTAAAGTCTTGTTTAAGATTTTTCATGTGGCAGGTGTTTGATCCTGGCTTTCTTAATGAGGGCTTGAGTAGAAGCCAAAGACCGCAAATGGAAAGAGAAAATCTGAGTGCTGCTCTTCCACTCTTAATGGCTAGTTCAATACTATAATTGTAATTTATTTTTAGGATGTGGACGTCGCTGTTAAATTACATTGATTGTCCATCTCCAGCTTCCTTGAGGAGTGGATGGATCTTCTCATTGAATCGTGTAGCCCTTGTGGTGGTGTATTCACCATTAACAGTATTACAGGATTTCCCAAAAAAGAATCTTTTGCTGATGATTTTTAGATTTGAATTACCTTCTAAAACAATGTTGAAAATGTTTTGGTATCAAACTAAGAAAATAACCTTGTATATGAAACTTGAATTATTTCAATTGCTCTGTCCATTTGCATGTGCATCTTAGCAGCTGTTCTCGGCCTGCAATCTCTAACCTTTATCCTCTTGCTCATTTCTCGGTCTTAATTTGCTCTTCCTTCCTTTCAGTTCCGTAAACCACAACTCCTCCTTGAGCACAGTTCCTCCTTTGATCCTTCCACATGCTGTTATTCGTCTGTCCTCTTTGAATCTCTTGAAGGAATCGTTTGCCTCTTTTGACCTTCTGCAGTCGACCTATGTCAATGCCTCCTACAGTACTAAGTCAAGTTGTTTCATCTTCAGTTATTAGCAATTATCTTACCCTAGTCACACTGTACAGATGGCTCAACATTTGTAGCTTTCTAAACCTGCTCACTGATTCCAGTGTCACTCCCTATGTGCCAGCAACATTACAGAATATATTTCCATGTAGTCCCACAGAATACTTGTTTCCTTATGGTCAAGTCACTTACCATCTTTGATCTCGTAGAGGATGAAAATATTGATATCATTTCTGACAAAAAGAAGCTTGTGGGTGGTAGTTCTTTCTACTTTATGAAAACTTTCATGGCTTATCCTAACTATTAATATAATCTAACTACATATTACCATTTAAAAACAAACAAAATGTTGGAACTATTTGGCAGATCAGAGAAACAATGA